TACAGGCCAGGGGCCAGTCGATCGCACTTGCAAGACAGCGCATTTTCACACTTTGTACTGGCAAGTACAGTTTCGCACCTTACTGAACCTGGGTCGCGGTCGCTTACAGCAGATTTGAATGCAGCCACCGTGCATGAAATCGCGGTCGCTGGTCGCGCACAGCAGATGGTCGCTCTGGACAGATCAGTTTGCATGTGAAAACGTCGGTGCACGGAAAATCGGTCGCTAACGGTAGATGGTCGCCTACAGCAGAGGTCGCTAACGGCAGATTTGACTGTACTGTTCTTCTGTCCCCGCGACCATTCAAATCATACGCGAGACGAAGGACCCACGTACTCACCACGTTCTCCCCGGTCGATTTCTCTGAAAGTTTGCACATCGTGAAACACCAGTATGAGAGGTGTTCAGGCCAAATTTCAAGAGATTTCCCTGGTTGGATCGTTCCAAAATCGGACTTGCATTTCTCGCTCGCGGCCATTTCTTGCGCGATGGAAGCGCCCAGCCCTGGGGAGTAACCAGCATCGCGCTTGGTAGAGAGTTGCTGCAATCAGCTCCCTGATGTCTTCCCTGCCATTGTCAGAAGCGATGGACCATGAATTTGTTTGAGAGTCTCTGGATGCTACTATTCCTCAGCCTAGTTTTCAGCCATTCTGTGCATCTTCTTCACACGATTTATTTTGCAAAAAAATGAAAGTGTTCATGAGTTTTCTTGTTGGCCGCGCGTAGATGGGCCAGGCTGACCTGCGCAGATGGGCTGCGCAGTGCGTTCGCTGATATCCCTACTTATGGGCTCACTACACCTCATGCTCAGTAAGTGGGTGAGGACAAGGTGCAGAAAAATGGATTGACGACATCGGGGTATCCGTCTCGGGATCCAACTGCAGTTACCTCTGCCCCCAGTGAAGGTAATACTAGCTACTAGTGTGGGTGGCTAAATCAGAGTGGATCTGAAATGAGCTTCACTAGCACCATTGCTTACACAAGAGTTAATCTAGCCAGAAGCAGTCCATGGTAAAACAGGTATGTATACTTCAAATAGAAAGTATGTGAACCTTGAAACCAACAAAGGTGGCAGGTACAACATTACACCTTCAAGCAGCCGAGCCTGTTGGCAACAGACCCAACACTATCTGGCAAAAGTGTACCTACCAACCGAACTAACTGGCACACACACACACACACACACACACAATCACACACACACACACACACACACACACACAATCACACACAGATACACACACGCACCAGCACGCGCATGCACGCACACCCGCCAACACATATAAATACCTTGCACACTGCAACTTGCACGATAGCATCCAGGGTTCCTTCTGGGATGTCTGCATTACCTGCTATGTGATCTGCCGACACTGTCTCCTGCTCGACAACAACACAATGAAATGGACAGTGATGGGCACGTGAAGGAACAGAGACAAAACGGAAAAAAACAGTCAAGAAACAGTGAAAAAATAGTGAAGAATGAGCTGCTCCTGGTCTGGTGACAAAGCAAGCTTTAGTAGCTTTCATAGGCAGTTGCAACCAAATCATACAGTGCTGGCAACTGAAATCCGACCCCTGAGCTGTGCGCTCACATCGCAAAGACCCAACACGGGATAGTAAAGCTACGAAATAGAGACCGCTAGAATGTGAACGCATCGCTAAGGGGTCGGATTTCAGTTGCCAGCACTGCACTAAAATAGGTTAAATAGCCACCATCTGCAATGTTTGCAAATGACAATTTACTGAAAGGTACAATGTAGCTTGAGTCCTACATCTATAGCTCGCTTTAGTATGTGGCATGTAAGCACGGGTGCATGTGTGCGGGTAGGCCAGCATGAGAGACAGACAGACGGACGGACGGACAGAGACAGACAGACAGATAGGCAGGCAGATATGCAGGCAGGCAGGCAGGCAGGCAGGCAGACAGGCTGACAGACAGACAGAAACAAACAGACAGACTCGGACAGACGGACGAACGTGCGGACGGGCAGGCGGAGGGACAGACAGAGAAACTGGGTTAGGCAAAGAGAGTCTGTTGGGTCCAGACCAATTCAATTTTGGGTATCGATTGGCATACATACTTGGAACAATGTTGCATTATTCGTTAGCGGCAGTGAGTTCTGGAACAAGTATGGATACTTGCACCCTGCGCACGGTATCAGAGGCCTAAACAAAAACATGAACACACACACACACACACACACACACACACACACACACAGACAAGCACAAACACATGTTTGTACTTGTATCTGCTCATACCATTAACTGATCAAGTGGCTCTCCCGGAGAAGGGAACAAGATTCAAAGGGAATCGTCGAGAGATGCCACAATTGAGTATTGAACCGCCCAACGGCTGACAACCCCTGAAATCCCCAAACTCTGGGTGGACTTGGAAATGATCCCACATACAGGCTCACCACACATCAGTAAGCGGGAGGCGGCAAGGTGCAGAAAAAGAATACACAGTTGTTTTCACGAACACAGTCATATTTTTCACGAGACGGGCTTGACACCAAAAGGTTCTGGTGACATTTTCGGCTGAATAGACCATAGGAGCACGCAAAGTTGATGGCAAGTCCCGGCACTGCATTGCACAAGCTTTGCTGCCCTGGTCGTGCGGTCTAGAACTCTCGTTGAAGTGTCATTTTTGAATTCATTTGAAATGAATTTTCACATTCAACGTGGTGCCGCCCCTGAGTGGCTTAATACGGAAATGCCCCCCACTGACTACAGAAGCGCTCTCCTAAAATGTGGTCCTGTAATGATGCTCCTCCCCCAACCCCATGTTTAGTGATACTAGAGAGGTTATGCAGTTTGAATTTCGGAACATTTTTCGACTACTGGGAACGAGATTCGGCGGAGCAATCAAACGTTCCGGAATGTCGAATGTCAAGAAACAGTAGAGTCGAACAATTTTCCAACGTTCGAAATGCGGAGAAATCCAAACAGATTGCGTGACGTGCAGGCTTCGATGAGAAGTATCTTGAAACCGAAGAGCTCCGGGCCATGTGTGTGGCCTGGCCAACCGGTGGTAGTGATTTGTCAGGATATTATTGTTTTGACAGCGGCTGTAAAACAAATTGACATATGTTCTTACGTGAAGGCATCGCGTCCCGTGGTCACGATAGGTGCGATAATCTTGTCAACGTATGTGCCATATCCTAACTGGTATTGCGATGTCAGGTTCTGCAGGCTGCGGGCTGAAACACAGAACAGGAACAGATCACGCCACTCTGATGAGAACATAAACCTCATAAGATGACATCACCACCCTGAGAATATATACCTCATAAGATGACATCACCACCATGAGAACACACATGTTTACCCCATTAGATGACATCACCACCCTGAGAACATGCATGTAAAGTTGTAAACCCCATAAGATGACATCACCACCCTGAGTACATAAACCCCATAAGATGACATAACCACCGTGAGAACATAAACCCCATAAGATGAATTTTAGATTTTCTTCTCCGGTAGAATTTTCCGGCTCGTGTCTCCTTCCTCATGCAGAAACAACAAGAGATGGTATGGTGGTGGTCAGGGTTCGGGATGGTCATAATTTTAGATTTTCCTGATCCAAACCCAACACACACACAAACGCGCGGACAAAGCCGGCAATGACATACACCACTGGCCTGATCAAATGCTAAACCCGACATCACCGCCTCTACACCGCCTCTACACCGCCTCTACACCACCTCCACCCTATTCCAGTGACCAGCAAGGACTGTAAAACCTATATACATCGTAGCTGCATGCCTGCACTGAAGCATGTGAACTGTCAACGCGAATGTGAAGAGCCCATAATAATGTAAGACAATATACAGTCAACTTCGCTAATAACGACTGCGGATATAACAACAATTCGCGAATAGCGACTGAATTTCCATGCCCAGAGCAAAGTCCCATCCCACTGTAATACATAAAATGAGACTTCGGGTATAACGACACTTTGCGAAGAACGACACCTTGTTGATGCCCCGCCGAGTGTCGTTATAAGCGAAGTTGACTGTAGTTGTTGCTGGTGTATACATTACTAAAAGTGGGATCAAAACAGGCATCAACGTCTAATAACACAGAATGGACTCAATCAAGTCCGTGTGTAGCGGTGTCTGCTCTAGGATTTCAAACCAATCGTGTACACATGATTGTACCTGGCACAACTCTTGCAACCGGATTACTCTTGCAACCGAGTACATTCAAGTGCAGCTATCGTACATCAGCGAGTCTTAGGACTTCCTGATTGAGTCCCAACGCGGGTCACAAGTGACCTGATGTTCGTTTTCCAAGCGGGTCCAAGTACCCCCCCCCCCCCAACCTGGTCGCTGACCCGGCTCTGGAGCAGGTACTGTAAATATACAAATTTTCGGCAGCTATTTAATTTCGGCTATATTCGGCACCGACCCAAAACGCTTAAATTCAAGCGCCGATGAAATTTTCACAGCATCTGTCGCACTATACCATGCCCTCTACCCCACGCCGAAAATATATCGCCGCCGAAATGTCAAAAATCGTGAAGTGCCGAAATTTTGCAGCGCCGAAATTTTGTATATTAATTTTACAGTACTGCTGTAGGTTGGAATTGAGGATTGGGTTGGAGGTTGGAGGTTCAATGACTATGAGTCATGGTTCCAATACATCTTCAGACTCACTCTCTCCTCTCTCCCAAGGGGAGAACCACGTGACCAGTTTCTGACAGTGAGCAAGTGCGAGTAAGCACCTCTGTGTGCGCTCGTGTGTCTGTGTTGGACCAGAGGACGTATCTGCCCAACCAATGCAGCCTATGTAGCGAACGATTCCCCCGCCCGCAGGACCTCACCTGCCACCGGAGACAGAAACACTGTATGTAGAGCGGTCCCCTTTCACCTTTCATTTTCAATCACTCTCCTTGTTTCTTTTCCTTTCTCGCTGTTGTCTCCCGCTTCTGGGAGCGACGTGGCCATTTTGTAGCAGTTGGACATAATAGTAGTAGTAGTGTCTGTGTGTGTGTCTGTGTGTGTTCTGTGTGTCTGTGTGCTATGTGTCTGTGTGTATGTATGTGTGTTTGTGTGCATGCGTATGTACATATGCAAGGTTCTAGCCAGGAAAATAAGGGGGTGGAGAGCGGGCAGGAGAAATAAACAGTTCACCCATTTTCCATGTTCCACCTTGTCACACAAAATGCAATGTACAGGCGCAGCGAGCACCTCGAACGATCGATTCGTAGCTGCATATTCTGTCGTCGTTGTCATCACATCGACAAGAGTTTTTTTTGTCTTTTATAAGGTTTTATTATTGCTATTGATGCTAGCCAAGCTTGCTTGGCGATGCCAACGCGGAAAAGCCTATAATAATAATAATAATAATAATATTGATGTAGCTCTGAGCTACTGATTAGAGCAGGAAAAAACTGGTCTCTACTCTAAGAAGAGACATGAAGAAGACTAGCGAAAAGCTGCTTGTAGAGCAACAAAATATAAAGTCGGCAAGTTCTTGCTGACAACGGCGCTACATTCGGATCACTGGATCCATACTAGGCTCAAGCGATTCCTCAGGGGTCAGCGCGAAGGCAGAAATAGGGATGCGGGTACAGCCAGAAATGGACATGTGTACACATAGGAGAGCAAGGGAAGCGCAACGCGAGCGGTAGCAGCCAGAAACGGATACATGCGCAGAAAGGGGAGCACACCGCGACATGCACGGCAGCCAGAAACGGATACATGCGCAGAAAGAGAGCACACCGCGATATGCATGGCAGCCAGAAATGGATACATGCGCAGAAAGGGGAGCACACCGCGACATGCACGGCAGCCAGAAACGGGTACATGCATACAACAGAGAGCAAGTAGAGCACACTGCTAGTTGCAGGACAGCCAGACATGGCTGGGTGCATACAAAAGGGAATCGCTTGGTGCCAAAAAAGGGGGCACATAAATGATCACGACTGATGTTCGTGACATATTCGTTGTGTGGAGCGGAAAAAACAAAAATCGAAAATCAGTGCTATCAGAGTAGGGCGGGCGGGGGCGGGGCTTCACCCCGCTACCCCACCCCCATTTGGCTTGAACCCTGTAAAGTGCAGAGGTAGAGAAAGTGAATTCCTACCCATAATATATTCCTCTAGTGCAGCCAATACATCTTACCTATGCTAGTTGCAAACCTCTTCATGTTGGCCAGGTCATCACTCATGGAAAACGAGTGATCCATCAAGTAATACACATCCAGTTCATAGTTGCGATTAGGCAATAGTTCCACCGTAAGCGTTAAGCTGGATCCTGAGCAATTACACACAGACAACAAACAATTGTTGGCAACTGTTAGCAAAACAGAGGTGCAGCAGGGATCTGATAGGACTGAACAGCCCACTTTGGGAGCTTTAGGAGCTGCATCTGTGCCCAATATCTCTGCAGGGTCAGGAGAGATTCCTACAGATGCTGGAAACTCAGTGTAACGGAGCCTCAAGCAAAGCGTGAAATGTTTTTAGGAGCAGGAAAACTTAGTTGGGATCCGGAGTACTGGCCATTCAAATGTGGGTTCAACAACACGACCAGTAGAATATACGAGTGCAGTAAGTCAAAATTCTGAAAACCATGTGTCCAGAGGGTAGTAAAAGAGCAGTCAGTCCCTATGCACAGATGCAGAATTTCACCCGCTCCAATACCAACCACTGGACAGGCTATATTATGGCGATCGAGACTAGGTCTTCGTTGCAGGGGCGGCCGAAAGTTTAACTGCTTAGGAGTCACGTGTACCCGTCATATCATACACAAACTGTATGAGCGGTTGTGGTATGGCCGGATCAATCCGAAACTGTGTCCGCCGGTGATGTGTTGTCATGCTAGGCCAGACTGTTGAGGCACAGACTGAACAGTACGTCTTGATACGGGTTTTGTTTACGCATCAGCAGAGTACAGGTAATCCAAATGGACTTATTTTTTTCTCTTTGCAAGTATACACAAGCCTCGCTAACTCATCGATATTCCGAAAGCGTCACCAGTCGGGCATGAGCAGCTGATTGTTTCCCTTGCCGGGGAAAGTCGTCTAGTGGCCGTTGCCAAGGTTACAATCACATGACGTTTCTACAATACAAGGTTTATCTAATACAAGTTCTGTAGAACGGGTAATTTTAGCGACGTGAAAAGTTAAAACCCTAGCGAATTTAGCGATGGACTCATTTTCGCTAAAGTTTCAAGTCGCTAATCCGTTGAGACATTAGTAGTGCACTGGTGATCCGTGAGTAAAATCGCTGCAAATCGCTAAAATAAAACGTCGCTAACTGGTTGACAATGGGAAAATGCTAAAATAAATAGTCGCAAAAATTACCCGTTCTACAGTATCACATGACATCTATGGGCCATCAGAATACACACATCACAGAGGTGGGGCATGTGGTTGGGTCTAAAATACATCCAACAAGCCACCCTGAAACGCCACGTGCACACCTCACTGCACGTGTGAACCTGTACGGACACGGTGTGCTTATATCCAGCCTAAACTGGCACATGGGGCCCCGGATGAACCACAGTTTCAAATAAAGAGATTCATGGCGAAGAGTGTGTTGTTCCCTACATGTGAGCTCGCGGTTTTCCTGCCGACTTGAATTCTCACTTGACTGACTCACGACTTCCATCCGGAGCACACGAGAAGTCCATTGAACCGTCCACTCGGCAAACCTGCAAGAAAGCACCACTCCCTGCTCAATACACAGTGTTTCGGGGAGATTCATGCTTTTTTACCCGAACTTAAGAAATAGATTGTACTCATTGATCTGGCTGTTCACAAAAGGTCATAGCTTCATGTACTTTGAGCTCATCGTCTCAAGCAATGTCTGGGTGTCTAGGTGTCTGGGTGTCTTACCTGAACGAAGGTTTACAGCTACGCGCTGAGGTTTGACCTGCGACACATTGAATGACTCGTCCTTGAGAATAGAAGAGTGCATGTGAACACACACACACACACACACATACACGCGTGTGCACATGTGCACACACACACCCACATATGCACACACGTACATACACATACACACACACATCAGCGGACACACACACACACACATGTACACATACACATATACACACACACACACATGCACGCACGTGCGCGCACAAACGCGCACACGCAAACACACCAACACAAACACACACATACACGCAAACAGGCGGGCAGATTACACCCTTTGTTGCCTTTCGAGTGTTGTTTGAGTGCGTGCGTGTGTGTATGTGTTTTTTTTTTGTTTTTTTTCTACAAAATCCACATATCTCCAGACACTGAGGTGAATGATGGAGTGTGGTGGTGGGGCCCATTAAGCTCCGCCGACCAGAGGTCTCGGCTTCATAGCTCCATGGACGCACCAAAGGGATATTGGGTAGGGAGGATTAAATTGAAAAAGAAAACAGAAGTGCGTGCGTGTGTGTGTGTGTGCGTTCCAGCTAGTTCGGTTGGTTGGTACACTTATTCCTGATTGTGTTGGGTCTGTTGCCAACGGGCTCGGCTGCTTGAAGGTGTAATGCTATACCTGCCACATTTGTTAGTTCCAGGGTTCATATACTTTCTGTGTAATAAATGGTGCTAGTGAAGCATATCAGATCCACTCTGATTTAGCAACCCACACTAGTAGCAAGTATTACCTTCACTGGGGGCAGGGGTAACTGCAGTTGGATCCCTGGACGGATACACTGATGCCGTCAATCCCTTTTCTGCACCTTGTCCTCACCCACTTACTGAGGTGTAGTGAGCCCATAAGTGGGATCAATTCCAAGTCCACCCAGAGTTTTGGGGATTTCAGGGGGTGTCGGCCGTTGGGCAGTTCAATAGCCAATTGAGTCATCTTTCCAAGATTCTTTTTGAGAGCCTCTCCCCTCTTCCAGGGAGACCCATGTGACCAGTTTTGGCAGTGAGCAACAAGAACAACAAGTACACGTGTGCGTGCGTGAGCGGGTTTGCCTGTAACAGCTATGTGTATGCATGCGAGTGTGCATGCTTGTACCGAAGTATGCGAGGGTAGTGCATGCATACCCTTGTGTGTGCATGCGTGTACCGAAGTATGCGAGGGTAGTGCATGCATACCCTTGTGTGTGCATGCGTGTACCGAAGTATGCGAGGGCAGTGCATGCATACCCTTGTGTGTGCATACGTTTGCATGCACAGTCTTGTACACGTGTTTCGCCTGCGTGAATCTATGTATGCGTGCATGCCTGCATACGTGTGTACCTGCATGCATGTGCCTGTCCATGTGTGTCTAGGTACCTGTGTTCACTTCATACGTATGTACTTAGTTGGTTGGTATATTCCATTTCTACTTCGCCAGAATGAACAGCCATTGTTGCCTTCTTACCTGGACAAGTGTATTGTCCAAACTCTCACTTCCACTTCTATACACATGTGTCTGGCTACATGTGTGCCTGCCTTCATGTGTGTATGCTGACATGTGTGCATGCTGATGTGTGTGCATGCTGATGTGTGTGCCTGCTTACATGTGTGCCTGCCTTCATGTGTGTGCATGCTGACATGTGTGTGCATGCTGATGTGTGTGCATGCTGATGTGTGTGCATGCTGATGTGTGTGCATGCTGATGTGTGTGCATGCTGATGTGTGTGCATGCTGATGTGTGTGCCTGCCTTCATGTGTGCCTGCCTTCATGTGTGCCTGCCTTCATGTGTGTGCATGCTGACATGTGTGTGCATGCTGATGTGTGTGCATGCTGATGTGTGTGCATGCTGATGTGTGTGCATGCTGACATGTGTGTGCATGCTGATGTGTGTGCATGCTGATGTGTGTGCATGCTGATGTGTGTGCATGCTGATGTGTGTGCATGCTGATGTGTGTGCATGCTGATGTGTGTGCATGCTGATGTGTGTGCATGCTGATGTGTGTGCATGCTGATGTGTGTGCATGCTTACATGTGTGTGCATGCTGATGTGTGTGCATGCTGACATGTGCTTGAACATGTATGTGCACATTAGAGTGAGTGCACAGGATAATGATGGCCATACCAAACCAGCAGGTAAGTTTCATGGATACATGTGCAGAAGATACTGGTGCTCACAGTCCCAGTCATACACACCATGCAGCACTGAAGTGAAAGCAAGTCAAACTCTCCAGGTGGTGCAGTGCTTGACAAGCTGATTGACATTGCTCCTGTCACACGCACACACCACACACCTGTCAAGTAGTAGCAGACTCTACACTAGAAATACCAGTGCTGTGTCTACACTAGGACTATACCAGTGCTGTATGAGAGAGTGTCCCAGTTGATTGTATCAGACTAAGTAACTCCAGGATTCTAGCTGGCCTCCAGCCGCACGTCTCCAACCCAGGCCGTGCACCGGGCATTCTTTTTCTCTTTCGCACGGCTCTGTAACCTGGTGTGTTGGCCTTGCTGTTACTGGCACCCCCTCTTTGTTGTACCTTGTGTGTGTTTGATTCCACGGTAGTCATTGAAGAAGTTCTCTGTGCCCTGCTGCTGCTGCTGCTGCCGCACAGCAGTGTGGCTGTGAATAGGTACAATGCCACGGCAGGATTGTGCAGCATGCGGCTCAGCAAGTAGACGGGGAAAGTTGATAAGCTGCCTGCACTCGCTGTGTGTGGAATGTCTGCCAAAGCACAGCACTGACCAGGGCTGTGTTTGTTGTCCGCTGTGTTCTGTAACAACACCCCCTCCTCCCAGAGGTGTTCCCCTGCTCCAGTATCTACCCGACAGTGAGGCATACAGTGGTGCAGCAGACGATGCTAGCGACCTGCAAAGGAGGTTGTGTGATGAATGTGCTGAGGATACCGTGGCTGTGGCAGTATGCACTGACTGTGGTGATTATTTCTGTGCGACTCACGCAGAAGGGCACCCTACCTCTCGCAGAACCTATAAGCACAAAGTCCACCTGCTCACTGAGGTTACCGGAGACGCCGCCAGCAGACCACTACAAGCTGATGCGGCCGCTACAAGCCAGCACAAGTGCTCCTTTCATCCGCCATGCATGCTCTGTTCGTACTGCATGACGTGTGAACAGCTTCTATGCGAGCAGTGCCTGAGTGTGGGCAAGCATACCCAGCACCAGGTACAGAGCATTACTGATGTTTCTAGTGCTTTTCAAGCATCGTTCAAAGCCAAACTAACAAGCACATTCTCCAGCCAGCCTGACAGTTCTCTGGAGGAGCTCACTGCCAAGGTGGGTAAATCGTTGAATGGTCTTCGTGACGAGACAGAAGCCGTGTCCACTCAAATCGACGATTACTTCTTTGAGCTGAGGACAAGACTGGATCAACGTCAGCAGGACCTGCTCGACAGGCTGGATCGCTTGCAATATGCCCACGTCGGGCCACTGCAACAGAAGAAAGAGCAACTCGTCGCCGCTGCATCCACCGGTGACAAATTGAAACATCTGACGGAAAGTTGCAGTGATCCAGTCAACTTTCTCAAGATGTACAAGTGGCTGGAGCAAGCAGTGGCTGATGCAGCAAGTGCAGCTCAAGACCAGATGCAAGCATTCGTGCCTGGCACACTGGCATTCTCAACAAGCAACAGAGAAGATGTGAGCAAAGCCATAGCTCAATCTGGTTGCGTCTTCGATAGTGGAATGGTCTCTGCCGAGCACACAACGGTGGCTGTCCCAGTCAGCATGGAAAACGATACCGATCTCACAATAGCAATAGAGACACGTAACGCACGTGCTGAAGACCTGCACGTCACCGACAAACACTTGGCGACGGTGCAGGTGAACGTCTCGAGTGTCGCCGACAATGTCACTACAGCCTGCCCCGTCACCAAGGTAACCAGTAGTGCCACGGCAAGTAAACAGCTTAGTGCCGGCAGCAGCAGCAGCAGAAGCAGTGGAATGTTGGCTACATACAAGACGGGTGACAGGAAAGGAGAGGTGCGCGTGTGCGCTACGGTGGACGGGCAACACATGAAGGGCAGCCCAGCAATTGTGACCGTCACGGATAAGCAGCTGCGATTCGATCCTTCACGGTGTGATGTTGATCTTCTTCTCTCCAACAATGGCAGAACGGTAACACATACTGCAGGTATGGGTTGGAAGTCGGTCTATGGGTTGAAACAGTGGCGAGAAGGTTATCATGAAATAGCTGTCCGTCTTGACAGCATTACTCGTGGTAAGATTCACCATAAGGTCTTCATCTGCAGTGCCGCAAAGCCAAAGCTGAATAACCAGAAGGGCGCCACTAAAGAATTACAATTCGGATGGTACAGCAATCACCCTGACGGTGGAGGTCCCTGGAAAGGCATCGCACTTGGCCAGCCATGGAAGGCTGGTGACGTGATTCGCATGTCACTGGATTGTGACAAGCACACACTGGTCGGCCTACATGAGCGTACTGGAGCAACAGAGACCATCACGGGTGTGACCGGAGACCTCTACCTCTGCATTTCCCTATGCCATAATTTGGATCGATTTACTATTCTGTGAGCGGTACAGTTGCGCCATGACCAAGGAGAGCAGTGTGTAAACGCAAGCCTGCACATCAAAAGTCATTCCTGACAGTACTCAATCAGCGCACAGAACTGTTTCGTTCTTTGTGGACTCATCAGCGCAGCACAGAGGAAATGAGGCCGAACCTGATAGCAATGGAAATTATACTTGGTCCGCCCAGTTAAAATTGGCGCTTATCTTCACACTTGTCTCAGGAAAGAAATACGAATATTTGAAGCAAGCCACGATCACAAAGCACTATATACATGATTATTTACATGTAAGTAAGCAACTCAGTCAAAAATTCAAGCAAGTTACACATCCTCCTCGACACTATCGTCGCTGGAGGAAGAGCTCAAAACGTACGATCCGGACAGCCTGCTGCACGGGTCGTTTCATAGCTTGTTCCACTTCTCCTCGTCTCAAATCACACTCAAAGGCAGTGCATGCCTGTCACCTTGCCGATGAGAAGCTGAGTGAGACTGCCCGCATGTTGACTGTAAGTGTTATCCCCGTTCGTCGCAATAATGCGTCTTTGTTTGAGACAAAAAGGCAACGCCATATCAGTGTCCTTTTTTTCAAATCGCCTCTTGCGCTTGTCGTACTTGCTGATCAGCACCCGTACCCACGCGAGCCGCTGGTGCTTGAAGATCTACATGCAGCGCAGTGATAGCTTCCGCTTGATGTAGCACCTGTGCGTACTGCTGCACCTACGACGCCGTGCACCAGGCTTTTCGGCTAGTTTCCTGAAAGTCCTTTGCACGAGTGTTTCTCTCAGGACTTGGTGTTTTCTTTGATTAGCTCCTTTGCCCTGTCCTCTGTGAGCTTCAAAGTGTGTCCGCCAGATTGGTCTCACTTACTGGAGATATCGACATGAGCTGCAGTTTCTTCGTCAGCGATTTGACTGTGATAGCCCTTCACTAGGCGCTGTACTGTGCAAGCACTGAAATTCAAGCTCGCGAAGCGCTTTTTCAGCTTTCTATACCTCCCCGGGGTAAACAATCCTTGCCATCAGACAGCTGGAAGTAGACAGAAACTGTATTCTCCATCGCTCTGAAATGCGAACATCCTGACCTATTTTACGGACTCGAGCGGAGGTTGCAGTGTTTTCTTGCGCTTACGGAAGTGTTCGTCGGCGGCAGCTCCGTCAAAAAGACTCAAACAAACCGATCGCAACTTCTGTGTTGGTTTGTGCTGCCATGTCGTCGGATGCAATGGTCAATGGTTATGTTCGGATGGTGAATCGGTGGTTCCATGCCGTGTGGCACAGGCAGAACACCAAAAAACCAAGTTAGAAGATAAGCGCCAATTTTAACTTGGCGGACCAAGTATTATCCAACGCCAGATGTAAACCGGGCCCGAACGTACCTATTCACATACAGCATTGGGCATTACGCTGCTCGGCATCTGTCTTTTTGAACACTCTCGGTAGGCTGCCGTAGGGCTGCTGCGTTGTTACTATTATTTTATTCCCGTAGCTATGCAGAAGACATTACTGTCTGGCGCTAGCCAGGGTCCACACAGCTTTAATTTGGTGTTTATTTATTTGTTTGTTTGTGGCAGACGGATCTCCGTCTGGCGCTATCCCGTACCTGTCCCGCACCATCAAGAGTACCATACCATCAAGAGAATGAGTATGTATGCGAAGTGTATCGGGGGAATGCATGCAGGCCGATAGTGCAGTGCATCGAGCATTCAAGAGTTGTGTAGTGTAGACACGATACTGGTCAAGCGAGCTAAGATGCCAGGGTCCACACAGCTTTAATTCCCGTAGCTATGCAGATGACGTTCCTTCAGTAACGTCTGGCGCTAGCCAGGGTCCACACAGCTTTATTAAACTGATGCCATCAAGACCCTCACCCTTTATATAATAAGTTCCTTACCATCAAGGTACTTCCTGTCCAGACAGTTACCATTAACTAGGACAGTTACAATCAAGACTCTAAGCACCATAGAAGACCAACTCTTCTATGACTATGGTGCATGGTGTCAGTGTCTTGATTGTCACTGTCCTACTAAGCAGTAAGTGTCTGGACAGGAAGTAGCTTGATGGTAAGTAGCTTGCTGGTAAGGGTGAGGGTCTTGACGGTATCAGTTTCTGATTCCAGTTTCTAACAATCACTGATCATGCATTAAAATCCAGTTTATCCCAATCACTGATCATGCATTAAAATCCAGTTTATACCAATCACTGGTCATGGATTAAAAAGGCTCAGAGGGAAACTGTGTTTTGTCATTACGGTATGCAGTTCTGCTATTTCATGATGATTTTTCATATCTAATCAACCAGTCAAAAACACTAAGCCATGGTCTAACACTCCATGGCTTGAAGATATTATGAAATTATGTTAAAACCTAGTACACTGCATTCTTCACTACCCTCCTGTCTGTCTCTGTAGCTCTACTGTCTAGCATAACATTGTTAGGAAGTCAGCGCTCTGTGACAGAAGCTACAAGTACACGTAGCGCAACAGATACAAATGGGTACACACGCATGAACAGGACTAACTATGCACTATGTACTATGCACTATGCCCCCCCCCCCCCCCCCACACACACACTCTTATGTATACACCATGTACCATACACGAGCATCACAAGAGAGAAGCACTCTGCAGGCGCGTGCCCCGTATGGGTTCCTGGGTGCCCGGAACCCCCCCCCCTTTTTTTCGCTCAAAATGCAGGATTTTGCTTCATTTTTGGAAATTTTTCCCGGGGAGGCTCCCCGAACCCCCCCCCCCCCCTTGAAGGGCACCGGCGCACGTGCCTGCTCTGATCTGCAAGTGCACTGGGAGCACTCACTCTGCTTGTCTCGTATTGAAAAGCAAGTGGACAAGATCTGATTGAAACAGATCAGGATTTGGGCCAGGTAATTGTCCTATCCACAGAACTGACCAAACCATGTGACTACACCCGCATACACACCTGGTCTATACCACACGGAGTACATTGGAATACCAATGGACAAGACCATGGCAGCTACTGGAGCAACCAGTATTGACAGCGCGCTGCTTTAGTGCATGCAGACACTAGATGTACTGGTGAATTGTAGTGAAACTGGATTCACTTTCGAACCGGCCTTGGCAACTGACTTTCGGGAACGCAAACACGCACACACACACACACACACACACACACACACACACACGCACGCACACACGCACACACACACACACACACACAGGCCTTAGAAAACCCTTACCTGCAGTACGTTGATGGAGGATCTTGGGTTGATAGGCGCATGGCACATCACCCGTGTTGCCTCGGACACAGGCAAGCAACGGGAACGCTGACGCCATTCCTCAGCCTGGGACAAAAGAAGACATATTGAAAGAAATCAGTAAAACTGAACAAAGACCTCGTACCCTGAATAGTGGTGAATACGTAACTATATTTTCCCTTTCTTCCTTGTTAAAATATTTCTCGGTGTGTGAAAACTCGACAGTAGCCCTTCACAAAATCATCATCCATGCACCACTTTGCAGCACTATAAAATAACCTCTAAATTCACAGATACTTTTAGGAATTTCCAGTCCAGGAGCATATCGGCGGTACTCAGCAATAAATCTTTCGCCCAAGCCAAACAGAGACTATGTACTGTAGAGGCAGAAAATTTCGTCGGTCAATAATTTCGTCCAACTCCAAAGAAAAGGAGTTCGTCCGGTTGAAAATTTCGTCCATAGATCATAAGAGTGTATAGAAACGCTGGACAAATCGATATCCGTCCTACATTTAATTTAGTCCAAAAGCTCCTTGGACGAAAAAGACGAAATTAAATCCCAGACGAATATTTCTGCTTATACAGTACATGACGAACCCAGACACTCTGGGCAAGTGGTGTGAAGTCCGACAGTGTGAAAACATCAGCATAGTGTCTGGCTAATGAACACTTTGTTTTAGCATTTCACTAAACCAGACCAGTACTACATGGTGGGACAACACTAGTTTGTTGCAACCCTAGACCAGCACTGTGTGGTGTGAGAGCATAGCACATAGCACTGTATGGTGTGAGAGCATAGCACATAGTACTGTATGGTGTGAGAGCATAGCACATAGCACTGTATGGTGTGAGAGCATAGCACATAGTACTGTATGGTGTGAGAGCATAGCACATAGCACTGTATGGTGTGAGAGCATAGCACATAGCACTGTATGGTGTGAGAGCATAGCACATAGTACTGTATGGTGTGAGAGCATAGCACATAGTACTGTATGGTGTGAGAGCATAGCACATAGTACTGTATGGTGTGAGAGCATAGCACATAGTACTGTATGGTGTGAGAGCATAGCACATAGCACTGTATGGTGTGAGAGCATAGCACATAGTACTGTATGGTGTGAGAGCATAGCACATAGCACTGTATGGTGTGAGAGCATAGCATATAGTACTGTATGGTGTGAGAGCATAGCATATAGCACTGTATGGTGTGAGAGCATAGCACATAGCACTGTATGGTGTGAGAGCATAGCACATAGTACTGTATGGTGTGAGAGCATAGCACATAGTACTGTATGGTGTGAGAGCATAGCACATAGTACTGTATGGTGTGAGAGCATAGCACATAGCACTGTATGGTGTGAGAGCAAAGCATATAGTACTGTATGGTGTGAGAGCATAGCATATAGTACTGTATGGTGTGAGAGCATAGCACATAGTACTGTATGGTGTGAGAGCATAGCACATAGTACTGTATGGTGTGAGAGCATAGCACATAGCACTGTATGGTGTGAGAGCATAGCACATAGTACTGTATGGTGTGAGAGCATAGCATATAGTACTGTATGGTGTGAGAGCATAGCACATAGTACTGTATGGTGTGAGAGCATAGCACATAGTACTGTATGGTGTGAGAGCATAGCATATAGTACTGTATGGTGTGAGAGCATAGCATATAGTACTGTATGGTGTGAGAGCATAGCACATAGTACTGTATGGTGTGAGAGCATAGCACATAGCACTGTATGGTGTGAGAGCATAGCACATAGCACTGTATGGTGTGAGAGCATAGCACATAGCACTGTATGGTGTGAGAGCATAGCACATAGTACTGTATGGTGTGAGAGCATAGCACATAGTACTGTATGGTGTGAGAGCATAGCACATAGCACTGTATGGTGTGAGAGCATAGCACATAGTACTGTATGGTGTGAGAGCATAGCACATAGCACTGTATGGTGTGAGAGCATAGCACATAGTACTGTATGGTGTGAGAGCATAGCACATAGCACTGTATGGTGTGAGAGCATAGCACATAGTACTGTATGGTGTGAGAGCATAGCATATAGTACTGTATGGTGTGAGAGCATAGCATATAGCACTGTATGGTGTGAGAGCATAGCACATAGCACTGTATGGTGTGAGAGCATAGCACATAGTACTGTATGGTGTGAGAGCATAGCACATAGTACTGTATGGTGTGAGAGCATAGCACATAGCACTGTATGGTGTGAGAGCATAGCATATAGTACTGTATGGTGTGAGAGCATAGCATATAGTACTGTATGGTGTGAGAGCATAGCACATAGTACTGTATGGTGTGAGAGCATAGCACATAGTACTGTATGGTGTGAGAGCATAGCACATAGCAATGTATGGCGTGAGAGCATAGCACATAGTACTGTATGGTGTGAGAGCATAGCACATAGTACTGTATGGTGTGAGAGCATAGCACATAGCACTGTATGGTGTGAGAGCATAGCACATAGTACTGTATGGTGTGAGAGCATAGCATATAGTACTGTATGGTGTGAGAGCATAGCACATAGTACTGTATGGTGTGAGAGCATAGCATATAGTACTGTATGGTGTGAGAGCATAGCATATAGTACTGTATGGTGTGAGAGCATAGCACATAGTACTGTATGGTGTGAGAGCATAGCACATAGCACTGTATGGTGTGAGAGCATAGCACATAGCACTGTATGGTGTGAGAGCATAGCACATAGCACTGTATGGTGTGAGAGCATAGCACATAGTACTGTATGGTGTGAGAGCATAGCACATAGTACTGTATGGTGTGAGAGCATAGCACATAGCACTGTATGGTGTGAGAGCATAGCACATAGTACTGTATGGTGTGAGAGCATAGCACATAGCACTGTATGGTGTGAGAGCATAGCACATAGCACTGTATGGTGTGAGAGCATAGCACATAGTACTGTATGGTGTGAGAGCATAGCACATAGTACTGTATGGTGTGAGAGCATAGCATATAGCACTGTATGGTGTGAGAGCATAGCACATAGCACTGTATGGTGTGAGAGCATAGCACATAGTACTGTATGTTGTGAGAGCATAGCACATAGTACTGTATGGTGTGAGAGCATAGCATATAGTACTGTATGGTGTGAGAGCATAGCACATAGTACTGTATGGTGTGAGAGCATAGCACATAGTACTGTATGGTGTGAGAGCATAGCACATAGCACTGTATGGCGTGAGAGCATAGCACATAGCACTGTATGGTGTGAGAGCATAGCACATAGTACTGTATGGTGTGAGAGCATAGCACATAGTACTGTATGGTGTGAGAGCATAGCACATAGTACTGTATGGTGTGAGAGCATAGCACATAGCACTGTATGGTGTGAGAGCATAGCACATAGTACTGTATGGTGTGAGAGCATAGCACATAGTACTGTATGGTGTGAGAGCATAGCACATAGTACTGTATGGTGTGAGAGCATAGCACATAGTACTGTATGGTGTGAGAGCATAGCACATAGTACTGTATGGTGTGAGAGCATAGCACATAGTACTGTATGGTGTGAGAGCATAGCACATAGCACTGTATGGTGTGAGAGCATAGCACATAGTACTGTATGGTGTGAGAGCATAGCACATAGTACTGTATGGTGTGAGAGCATAGCACATAGTACTGTATGGTGTGAGAGCATAGCACATAGCACTGTATGGTGTGAGAGCATAGCACATAGTACTGTATGGTGTGAGAGCATAGCACATAGTACTGTATGGTGTGAGAGCATAGCACATAGCACTGTATGGTGTGAGAGCATAGCACATAGTACTGTATGGTGTGAGAGCATAGCACATAGCACTGTATGGTGTGAGAGCATAGCACATAGCACTGTATGGTGTGAGAGCATAGCACATAATACTGTATGGTGTGAGAGCATAGCACATAGTACTGTATGGTGTGAGAGCATAGCACATAGCACTGTATGGTGTGAGAGCATAGCATATAGTACTGTATGGTGTGAGAGCATAGCACATAGTACTGTATGGTGTGAGAGCATAGCACATAGTACTGTATGGTGTGAGAGCATAGCACATAGCACTGTATGGTGTGAGAGCATAGCACATAGTACTGTATGGTGTGAGAGCATAGCACATAGTACTGTATGGTGTGAGAGCATAGCACATAGCACTGTATGGTGTGAGAGCATAGCACATAGTACTGTGTGGTGTGAGAGCATAGCACATAGCACTGTATGGTGTGAGAGCATAGCACATAGTACTGTATGGTGTGAGAGCATAGCACATAGTACTGTATGGTGTGAGAGCATAGCACATAGTACTGTATGGTGTGAGAGCATAGCACATAGCACTGTATGGTGTGAGAGCATAGCATATAGCACTGTATGGTGTGAGAGCATAGCACATAGCACTGTATGGTGTGAGAGCATAGCACATAGTACTGTATGGTGTGAGAGCATAGCACATAGTACTGTATGGTGTGAGAGCATAGCACATAGTACTGTATGGTGTGAGAGCATAGCACATAGTACTGTATGGTGTGAGAGCATAGCATATAGTACTGTATGGTGTGAGAGCATAGCACATAGTACTGTATGGTGTGAGAGCATAGCACATAGTACTGTATGGTGTGAGAGCATAGCACATAGCACTGTATGGTGTGAGAGCATAGCATATAGCACTGTATGGTGTGAGAGCATAGCACATAGCACTGTATGGTGTGAGAGCATAGCACATAGTACTGTATGGTGTGAGAGCATAGCACATAGCACTGTATGGTGTGAGAGCATAGCATATAGCACTGTATGGTGTGAGAGCATAGCACATAGCACTGTATGGTGTGAGAGCATAGCACATAGCACTGTATGGTGTGAGAGCATAGCACATAATACTGTATGGTGTGAGAGCATAGCACATAGTACTGTATGGTGTGAGAGCATAGCACATAGTACTGTATGGTGTGAGAGCATAGCACATAGCACTGTATGGTGTGAGAGCATAGCACATAGTACTGTATGGTGTGAGAGCATAGCACATAGTACTGTATGGTGTGAGAGCATAGCACATAGTACTGTATGGTGTGAGAGCATAGCATATAGTACTGTATGGTGTGAGAGCATAGCACATAGCACTGTATGGTGTGAGAGCATAGCACATAGTACTGTATGGTGTGAGAGCATAGCACATAGTACTGTATGGTGTGAGAGCATAGCACATAGTACTGTATGGTGTGAGAGCATAGCACATAGTACTGTGTGGTGTGAGAGCATAGCACATAGCACTGTATGGTGTGAGAGCATAGCACATAGCACTGTATGGTGTGAGAGCATAGCACATAGTACTGTATGGTGTGAGAGCATAGCACATAGCACTGTATGGTGTGAGAGCATAGCACATAGCACTGTATGGTGTGAGAGCATAGCATATAGTACTGTATGGTGTGAGAGCATAGCACATATTACTGTATGGTGTGAGAGCATAGCACATAGTACTGTATGGTGTGAGAGCATAGCACATAGTACTGTATGGTGTGAGAGCATAGCACATAGCACTGTATGGTGTGAGAGCATAGCACATAGTACTGTATGGTGTGAGAGCATAGCACATCAATGTAGTAGCCAATATCTAGAGTATGGCAGTACGATCACTGTCATCAATGCAGAAAGGCAAAGTGTGAGAGCAATACACACACACACGCACGCACGCACACGCATGCACGCACAAACCACACGCACACACACACACACACACACACACACACACACACACACACACACACACACACATACACACACAACTAAACTTGTGAGAAGTGTCTAGTCCACACTTCAACTCAAACTAGCACATGACCTGGCGCCACAACTGCGAATGCTAGGACCATACCATTGATGCATGCAAGTCATGAGCAGCATTATAGAAATATTTGGTGAGGAAATCATCACCGAGAGTCTACAGTCCTGCTCAGTGAAATCCAGTTGCGTCACTCATGTATTTTGCACCTTGCACCATTTCGCAGCCCAACGTTCGCAGGTCTAGGGCTGTGCAATGCCCAGCGCGCACTTGGGTGACGCGACTGGATTTCATTGAGCAGCACTGTAGCTTGGGAAGTAGCGTATGAGAAGAATGCAACAAAGCAAAGCTTGAAGATTCAGTGCATTTAGTAGATTGGCAGAATGCGATTGACACGTACCTCATCAGCACACCACATGCAGGATTGATGCAAGTCCAGACATTCAGAACATGTCTTCACTCCTGAACACGATGGCGAATAGCCTAGCGTGGCAAACAATGTCACGAAGACGTAATCGGTATCACAGGGGAATTCATCACAGTTCTGCAAAACAGGTATTCTGCAGGTATCCTGCAACGATGTGCAGCAATTCCACAATCATGCCACTATCATAGCTCAGTGCTTAGAGCATCGCTGGCCTCAAGCCAAGGTCCCTGGTTCCAGTCCTGGTGGTGACAGTCAATTCTTTCCTCAGACTTTTCCCATTTGCATCTTCCCTCAAACCAATGAATACTCCACTATCAGCTATGCTTTTGACTATTCCTGGTTCGTTCAACTCTGCGAGACAATCAGTCCGATTGGTTCTTGCGCATTCGGCTACCCAGCCCTTCAATATTCTAAAAATAGAACATGTTGAGTTCATCTACCGCCAGTCAACCGATGTGGCCAAAGTTGGAAGCTGAAGAATTAATATTCTCGTGCAGAAGGTGACAGGATGTGATCTAGACCAGCAGCCAGACATACTACTACTACTACTACTACTACTACTACTACTACTACTACTACTACTACTACTACTACTACTACTACTACAGTCCATTCATCGGAAACAGTCCCGCTGGCTTTTGTAAGTCTGATTTCGGCCGAATTGAGGATCAAAAACACACTTTAAATCTCAAAAATCTGGGTTTTGGATCTGCTTCTCTATACATTTAGCCATGACATGCATCCCTGTCCCAATTTTGTAAAACCTGGCTGAATTTCTATTTCCCTGTTCTTGAACTTTTCTGGCCTGAAATGCGGCAAGGAGCAATTGCACAGGTCACACAATACAGGATGTACTGTTGTTTTCACGATATCTAGAACTATGTGCGGGAGACACCAAAACGTTACGGTGCCAGTTTCCAATGAATGGACTGCAGTGAGAAACAGGAAGGTGATTCATGGCCAGTCATTCGTAGTGCAGCAGTGTACACAGGCCGTATGGCCAACAAAGCCCGACTAGGAACAACTGCTGTGAGCAGCCATCAATGAGCTAGACACGCACAGCATGGATCGGAGCAGGATCACTCCAACAACTGAGAACATATTGATACCCCTTGCATGTGCTGTGGACTACAGTAACTGGTATAGCGGAAATCAAAACCGGCATACGTCTAGTAATACAATGGATCGTAATACTTATACTTTGTGTTGTACCTAGTAGAGATACCTAGTAGAGATACCTAGTAGAGATACCTAGTAGAGATACCTAGTAGAGATACCTAGTAGAGATACCTAGTAGAGATACCTAGTAGAGATACCTAGTAGAGATACCTGGTAGAGATACCTAGTAGAGATACCTGGTATAGACACCTGGTAGAAATACCTGGTACAAAATATTAAATAATGCAACTCACACTATCATTCAGCCCGTGTGCGTTTCATCACAATTTTTCCGCCAACATGCTGTATAAAATGACATTGTTGTGCTTCGTCACATTATCACCATGTACTGATTTTGAAGAGTAATGGTACGAAAGGCCTCATCAGATTTTCAACTAGCTTCGTCTCTTCGTGTGATGTTTCCCTCCGACAAAGTCTCTACATAAAATATACTATAAATACCCTGTGTAAAATACCCTGTGTAAATACCTGGTAAGTGCTCTGCTCCCACCCCTGGCAATGGTAGAACAACTGAAGAGCTGGAATGCAAAACCTGCTGCTGTGAGTTGACAAATATTCGGCGCATGTTTATTTTAGGCTATTTTCGGCCTGGCCATGTTTGGCCGAAAATGTGTTGAAGCCGAAATCTTGTTTTGCAAGGTTCAGTGTGACAGTGTATACAGGCGGTAGCAGTACAGGCCGAAAGTTTGATGCGGCCGAAATGGCCGGGTTTTAGCCCTGGGAGGCCGAAATTTGAATGGGCTGTAAATTTGTAGACTTACAGTACTGAATGGCATTTCATCACTTTTCGGATAATGGCCAAAAAAGGATTCATTCTATGTGCGGTTTGTATCTGTGTGGGTTCCAGCTTTAAAAGTGGTTCTAATCAGATTTTGAATGTGAAATTTCGCCTGGTGGTGCCCAGGTCTAGCTAGACCTTTTGTCTACTGAGTACATGGAGTTGAACATAGTGGCGCTTATCGCGTTAGCATCTCAGCCCCCCCCCCCCCCCCCGTCAACTACTGTAGTGTCTTGTATAGAAGCCTGGTTTGAATATAATCCTGATTTTTAAGGTACACCGTCAGTGCATAAGCCTGGTTTAGTGTTGACATACTGAAGTACATAGAGATACGTGGTTTGAATATAAGCCGGACTTGAATAGAAGCCTAGCACTGATATCGGCTTGCACGGCCGTAAGCACCTGCTTTTATACGCGACATTACGGTATACACTAGAGCTAACACAGCTGGTATACAGATGTACAAGTAGGCACGTAAGTAAGGCTGTGTTTACATGAGACGGGTCAACCCGGGTTGAGTTGCAACCCGCCATGAACACAGATCGACTGGTGTGTTTACATGAGACGGGTCAACCCGGGTTGAGTTGCAACCCGCCATGAACACAGATCGACTGGTGTGTTTACATGAGACGGGTCAACCCGGGTTGAGTTGCAACCCGCCATGAACACAGATCGACTGGTGTGTTTACATGAGACGGGTCAACCCGGGTTGAGTTGCAACCCGCCATGAACACAGATCGACTGGTGTGTTTACATGAGACGGGTCAACCCGGGTTGAGTTGCAACCCGCCATGAACACAGATCGACTGCGCGCGTTTACGTTTACATGACACATTGCGCTTGACCCAGGTTGAAATTTCAACCTGGCCTGATTTCAGGTGAAATCTCTGCATTCCACACAGCCAGCTTGCCTGTCTTTATGCAGTGATCCCATTGCAATAGAATCTCAGCTTTGTCTGCACTACTGCAGCACAAAACAGGGGTGCCGGGAGGTATGTAATGGCGGTATGGTCAGTCACCTGATGTACAATTTACTCGTGGGGTCGGGCTGGATCCTCTGAAAAAAGAAAAAAAAAAAAATTTTTTCAAAATTTAGAGCCCAGATGAGTGCTTCGTATTGATTTACAGGGTACCGGGGACAAAGAATGGTACAGTCCATACCGTCGTTACCGTAGTGACCTGAGTATGTAGTGTCCGACGGCCCTGCAAACAACGATTGAAACCTATCGCCAGACAAGTGGGCAACTAACAGTGAAATCCAACCGCTAGAATACAATGAGGTCATGTTGAGGTAGTGTTCACTTCAAATCATTATCTCAGTGTTTAGACTACTGCCCCTCTCAGCACGGGCTGGATTTCATTTTCTCCCACTATGTACATGTACATGTACGTAAGCAGTGTCTGCAGTTTCTCACACACATCCTGAGCAGCAGACACTAGCCTTCCATGCAGTTTCTCACACACATCCTCTGACTACTCATGACTGTCTGTGATGTGACATACACGTGACATAACATAAGTGCGCTGTGCTCTCCCCCCCCCCCCCCCCCCCTCCAGACTCATCCACTTCCTGGCTCCTCACACCAGTGTTATCGTCAGTCCTCATGGCTTGGCAACTCATTACTCAGGTAGATCTACAGTCTGTTGTCTAGATCTACACTCTGTACCTGTATACTCAAGTACAAGTGCTAGACTAGAGCCTCGCGCTCTGGTGGGTCTACCACTGCCAGACTACCACACACACACTTACCACCTGTATCAAGATGATTTCTTCCGGTGCAGTACACTGCACGTGTGGTGTACACTCGCGACTCGGTGCTGCATGTCATCCTGACCTCTCCCGCATAGCTCGCACTCTGATCTAGTCTCGCCTCCCACCAACAGTGAACACAGTACGCTCAGAGAGAACTATCGTGACACATGATGTAGAGCTACGAGTAGAAAGATTGCCGGAGTCCGAGAAAGCCTAGCGTTTCAGCCGCGAGAAAACTTCCGATGCGTGAGAAGGGACTTCTGCTGGCAGAATACGAGCTGTAACAACAGTGTGCTATCCGTGCACAAACCAGAGGATCCCCCCCCCCCCCCCCTACATCTACAGAACACAGTAAACCTCTTCGGTTTCCCTACTTTTCTTCGAGGTCGAGTCATTACAGAACCGACACCATGTCGGAACATGATATCGACAACTCTAACAGCGAACTCGAGTCACAAGTACGACTGCGTCGCACCTGAGCACCAAGCGCATGGCCCTGGAAGCTCTCAATATTGTCATTGAGTGTCAGTGTCACTAATGGCTGACTAATGGAAAGGCACAAACCCGAAAGTAAGATACTCTGCATACGAAAACAGCCATCACAACTACAACTAACAACAACCTTTTGTTCCGCCGACTACACTCGATAAGCAATAGAGGAAGAGCATGCGGACTCGGTCAAAATTCCGCAACGAAACACTGCATGACCATTGGCCGTTTCCTCATCCTCACTCCTACTCAAGAAAGACGCACGAACATGACTGTTTGGAAGTTTGGGATATTATCTGGTACCAGTGGTGGCGGTCTATGCTATGACGAAGTCGTACACATACCCATAGGGCTAGCTGTGGGCATAAAGGACGATGCGACAACCCAGCCACAATCTCTGATAATCGGACAGGAGAGCTACTCACCTGGAATGTCGGCGCAGTTCACACCACGAAGGCATGTGTACTCCAGTGTCGACAAGAGCAAATACAGCAAACACCAGCATCTCCTCCACCAAGCCATGCTGCCACGGCCGTTTCTGCTGCTCATCTCGCTAGACGACATCACAACGGTCGCAGAGTCCGCAGCGCTAACCTTAGTAAAACTGGAATGATTCGTAATCACAACGATGACAACGATGCTTTTGAGATCAGATGCCTGATTGCAACAGGAACACGGGTATCGACCTAGCGCTAGCGCAGGACTTACGTGGATTGATCGATGTTGCAGTTTTTTCGACGCTCTGTTCCGCGTAAACCTTCCCGATCCCCGGCCCCAGGGCATGGATCTTGGAACGTCTCAAGTCAAGTTACAAAAGGTGACTTTTCTGCTTCTTTTTTTTTGGCAATAAATTTAGTACTCTCGGCCCTCGCCCTAGCCCTACACTGGCTACAGTACAGCCTAGGAGTTGTGAAAGCTGTCACGACTCCAGCTCCATGCATGCAGCAAAAAACAAAAAAAAACAAAACAAAAGAAAAGTGCTAGTGCACTGGCCACTGTTATAGTCGAGTGGCCTCACATTTTGCTGATAAGGCCACGGTAAAAAATAAAGTTGATTCTCAGGTCATGAGCCTGTGAAAATCGGTGCGAGCGAGCGATTTTTATTTTATTTCCCACATTTTTTTGATTTCCAAAGATAGGGCCACACATTATACACATAATTATTATGTACATGGTCACATGTTCATAATTATTCAGCCTCATGAATCAAGCCAGGGAGTAGAAAAATACCGGTATTTTACTACTCCCCGATTCATGCCATTCGCATTGACCGTTTTCATGCGCGCATATGCATGCATAGAAATTTTTTTTAAATCGTCGGTGTGCCGCCAAAAATCGGTGCGCGCGTACTTGAAAATCAAAGATAATTTTTACCATGGCCAAAAATATTGTGTCAGTTACATGATTGTGCACTCTATCTACCGGTATGGCAGATGCTGGTGTCGTGAAAACCCACGACTCACACAGTCGCTTCCAGTACAGAACAATTGTACTCGTACTATCAAGAGTATTATAAGAGGGCTATATACTCTTTGTTCTATTGTAGTCCATTCATTGGAAACTGCCACCCTAACACACAAACACACAAACACACGCACACACACACACACACACACACACACACGCACAAACACACACGCACACAGCACAGAGCGTGCCGTGAGTCTCAACATGGTGGACAACACTGCTCGATAACGAACGTTACTTTCAATCTTGCATCGGTGTTGTGCATGTCAATAAACAGTAACTGGCTCTGGCAAAACTCAAACTCATACTGGCAACTATAATCAGATAAAAATAGAACAAATGGACAACTTGAGGAAGAAGCCATTATCACCTATGATATCAATGTGTAGAAAGTATGTTGATATCCCTCCAAATCCCAGTTAAAATAATGCAACCTGATTCAGTACGATCTGGGGCCAGCTCAAGACTGATTGAGGATTGGAGTAATACAATGACTCTAATAGCCGCGATGACCAAAGCTGTCAGAGAGAATGTGGGGCACGTGTGTGTTGGCAATATTCGGATCTGCAGCTGGCTCTTGTACGGGAAGAGTCACCGGCGGTCTTGTAATGCCACTGTATGGTAGTAGTGTGCAGCAGCAGCCCAGGACCGGCCACAGGCAACACTTGTGCATGACGGCTGCCCTGCACAACAAACAGAAAAAAATAGAAAGATGTCTGGTGCCTGCAGAGCTTGAGCTCTCACTCCTCCCCCTCCCCCCCCCCCCCCCCCCACACACACATGAACCCCCATCCCGCACACACACACACACACACACACACACACACACACACACACACACACACACACAAACACACACACGCACCTGTGGCCATTACTGGCGAATACTGCTCCCCTCCTCCTCTCCCTTCTTCCACCCCCCCCCCCCCCCCCCGTATTCATCATCTGAAGAAAGAGCACGGCATATTCGATAATTTCTTCCCCATCATCTAACTAAGCTGCACAAACACAGTTCCGAAGCGAAGTGAATTATTTGTTAGGGCCATTATGAATCATCGGATAACCTATCCTCCTATGGCAGTCTAAGTGCAGTCAGCGAATCACAAGAATGATTATAGTGTGTTCGACTGTCTGTATGACAAGCAGTCCCCACAGTGCATCAACTCATGTCTGGAAAGTCCACACAGTGCATCAACTGAATGGTGTCGGGTTACTGATCCTATTTATATTTTCACCAGCTGCGTTTACATACGGTAGTTGGTCTTGAACAGTATTTCTGCTAAATTCTGTTCCCTTTTCACTTTTAAATTCCCTTTCAATCAAATTTCTCTCCTCCACTTTTCCAGACAACTCCCCTCATAAGTATCAATTCACTTTTGGAGAATCCTTCGAATAAAATTTGAATAATTTCTTAGGAGACAACAAAGTGCTGTAAAACTTAGAAGAAGGACACAGTTCAGGTTCCTGAGGTTTGTGTCCTTCTTCGAAGTATAATATAAATAAATAACCAGCCTCCCCGAATTCAAGCATTCTCTATATCAGCATTTTCGCCGATATATTCATTACACTGACGGTATACCAACTCCTTAATTACCGGATTTTGTATGCCTCGATCTATTTCCTTAGCCTATCCTCGATTAACTGCTCCCTCTACATAAAGTTGTCATTTCATTCTTCTTGCAGGAGATTCCCTCGACAGGCCCAAAGCCTTTGGGAAATCCTTTTAAAATACAGTCGTCCCTCTCTAATCCGGCACCTTTTGCTACGGCGTTTTCCGCTGGATTAACGAGGGTGCTGGATTAAGAAATCCTGCCCTCTGACCCGGCCCTACCCAATTGCATGCATGTATCATACGTCAAAACGCAGAGTTTTTCCGTGTCGACCCAAGTATTTGGTGCACGGCTTTATATTCTCAACTTTTCTCGAGGAATATACACAGTAATAAAGTGATAAAGTAAAACAGAGAACATGTTCACATGTACTCTTCCACACACACGCACACACACACACACACACACACACACACACACACACACACACACACACCTGAAAATTGGCAGGACACTACTCCTTGCTAGAATAAGAAAGTATGGTTGACTGCTTAGCCGTTGTCTCCCGGACAACATTGACCCTCTTGAGAAGGCCACGCAAGCAGTCGACATCATGCAGGTCGAACTTTGTAGTTAGTTGTAGAACGTCAGTACCGTCGGTCAGTGTCGTGCAATGTTATCGCATAAGCTGATTGTTTAGTAACTGGTGATGTTAGTGGACATTATAGTGTAACTTGTAGTTCCTTGGTCCTTCTCTTTGTATAAATTGAGTTAGGGTTCGGAAAAGTCCTAACAACCAACCGAACTGAACTTTCCCGCGCGAGGTCGAGTACAGTTGTCAACTGAACTGTACTCTGAAGTTGCCCCGCGCACGCGCGGCACTGACCAGACCGGCCTAGCCTGGCCTGGCAAGGAGTGCACCTGTACGGTACGCGATTTACGACTGCCGGATTATGAAATCAAACTACGTGCAGTTTGAGCGATTCGTTTCAAAAAGTCACTGCCGGAGGCGGAATTCAAGTGCCGGATTAAGATGCAGGAATTGAACGAAAAAAATCGGTTTCGTCAGAAAGTGCGCCGGTTGGCAAGGGTTCCGGATAAACAAGTGCCGGATTAGAGAGGGACGACTGTATAATAAAATATTTGAAACTATTTGTATCCATATGTCCTTTTCCTTTCCACATATAATAAAATACAAAATAAATAAATTTTAAATTATAGTATAAAAACCTCCAGTCATTTGCGTGTTCTAAAAAGCAGGTAATATTTCTGGTAATCACTCATATAAAAAATCTGGTGCTATGAAAAACCTGTATAAAAAACCTGGTGCTGTAAAAAACCTGTATAAAAAACCTGGTGCTATAAAAACCACTTTTAGGGAAATGACTAGAGGTTTTTATGCTATAATTTAAGTATACAATAAATGAAGAGGCCGAGGGTTTATGACCAATAAAAACTATTATAAAAACCGAGGTCCCCCAAGACTGGGTCCGATCCTAAAAAGCTGTTTTTATGAACTGTTTTTATTGGATAGGATAGGATTATGTTGAATAAACAAGGTTTGTGTCAATGGGAGATTGACTTGGAGTTTTTACGAGTAGAATATAAGCTTCGCCCTCGTGTTTACAGGAAAAAACCCTCGGCAAAAAACCTCGGCTTCGCCTCAGTTTTTGCCTCAGGTTTTAATTCCCGTAAACACTTGGGACTCAGCTTATACTCTATACATAAATGAATGAATGGACTCGGATGGAGAGCCAAGGATAAATTTATAGAAAAGGAAAAGGGATCAAGGACCTACAAGTTACGCTATAATGTCCACTAACACCACCAGCGTCGTGTAATGTTATCGCGTGAGCTGATTGTCAAGTAACTGGTGGTGTTAGTGGACATTATAGCGTAACTTGTAGTTGCTTGGTCCTTTTTTCTTTTCTATAAAATGAATGAATCTCCGCTGTAAACGGTGGCTAAGTAGTAGCGTGACTGTACCAGTAGGTACAGCATGTACGTGTACTGCCGTGGACCGATTGAAATCCGATGGGATGACCGGGGCCGGCGCCCTTACTGCTTTTAGCGCGTATGTGCACTGTAGTTGACGTACACACTGTTAACATGGAGCAGCAGTGCTTGTGGCCGCAAGGTCAGCACCCCGCAGGCCGCTTGACTTCTCAACAGATTTCAATGTCCGCTACAGTACATGATTGTACACATGTACACGTACACGTGTTGTAGATCACAGAATGTGATGTTTGACTATCAGAGAACGGGCCACTGCTACAGCTGTAGATGTAGAGCCAGCTTGTCACCCAACGTAAAGTGTTATGTATCAATAGGGAGGTTCTGCTATACGTGAAACGTAGAGAAATCACGTAGAGAGCAGGTGTCTGGGTTAGAGTCTACGGCTTCGCGTGTTTTGGCTCCAGATTTCTACGCGGAGATGGGGTTCTCTACGTTGTGGCACACGCAGAGAAAATGCGTACGGATTTGCTGGGTATCGATCAACTGCATGCAGAAAACTGCCAAATATGGAAGGGGAAATTCCCAGTACACATTCCACGTGACTTCTCTAGGTGAAACGTAGAGCAGAACTGCATTTCTTTACGTTACGGGAACGCGAAGAAAGTTCGCGTGATTCTTTGCGTCGCGTTCCCAAAACGTAGAGCAGAACCTCCCTAATGCTGCCATGCGTACGTGTGTGTGCATGCATGTGTGTGTGTGCGTGTGTATGTGCGTGTGTGCGTGCGCGTTGTGTGCGTGCGCGAGTGTGTGCCCACACCCCTAAAAGTGCAAACTCCATTGAGTAGCGCGTCAAAGTTTTCATCTATGCTGTCAGACCGCACTGGCCTATCTGAGCTCTGCATGTTATTAGCAGCAAGATATGTACTCGCTGCTTGTGATAAAAGTACTCCTGTACAACCTGTGACCATTCGGTATGCCCTCGGAGAAAAGCAATACTGCGTATAACTATAAGTCTCGGACTTTTGATGTGCAGTGGGCACAGCTTTGGAGCTGCACACACCAGACTGTTGCTGTCGTCATAGTTACCGGTACAGTGAAACCTGTCCAAGACGACCGCTCAAGGGACCTTCAAAACCTGATCTCTGTTACCAGGTGGTCTCCTTATCCAGGGTCATTCGATTGGAAATAGCATGCCTTGATGCTGGGCTCAGTGGTCTTTTAGGACAGGCGGTCGCCTTGTCCGAGTGGTCGCCTTGACATGTTTCACTGGTACTTGTCAAGCACTTTGATTACAGTGTGTAGACGTGTGCTTAAAGGACTAAACCAGTACAGTCAACTTCGCTAATAACGACTGTGGATATAACGACAATTTGCGAATAACGACAACATTTCCATGCCCAGAGCAAAGTCTCATCTAACGGCAATACATATAATGAGACTTCGGGTACAAGGACACTTCGCGAATAAGGACACTTTTCTGATGCCCCGCCGAGTGTCGTTATACGCAAAGTTGACTGTGCACAAGCAATAGAAAGATGACTCGCACCTAGACTTACACTCAGTACGTAGCACAGATGGTCAGGCGTTGTCTCACATGGAAGAAGTAAGTATACCCACTTGTGGCGTACGCTGTGTTAGGAGTATCTAATACCCCAATCCAAGCAGTTCCCTCTCCGGCTGAGACGGAAAACCCTAGCCTTTCTGCAAAGTGTATCATGCAGCCTTTCATTATGCCAGCAGGCAACTGGTAAGCCCTCTCCTGGCAAGCGTGGACGGCTTCTGTAAAATTGCGACCTCCGTCGCTAGCAATGTAGTAGAGCTTTCTGCCTCCGTGGCATGTGTAAACTGTGCAGTGTCAAAACATCACAGTTTGCGCAACAGAACAAAACGGAATTTGACAATCGCAGTATCAACGGTGCAGTGCATTCGAGTGCATCGTACGCATGCACATGCACACATACACCCTGCTACGCGTGTCATAGCCTACTCTCCCCCCCCCCCCCCCCCCCACCATCCCTACAACATACCATCCACTAGTACACGACATACACGTGTCCCCTTTCCGCATACAACCTCTACACAGCCATCACTGCTGTGGCGCCCCCTGGCCCATAGGATCCTAAGCGCGCCCATATTGACACAGTCCTTTAACTAGCTCTCTCTCTCCTTCTCTCTCCTTCTCTCTCTCCTTCTCTCTCTCTGTCTATCTCTCTATCTATCTCTCTATCTCTCTCTCTCTCTCTCTATCTTTCTATCTCCATCTATCTCCATCTCTCTCTCTCTCTCTATCTCTCTCTCTATCTCTCTCTCTCTCTCTTTCTCTCTCTCTCGTCATCACCATGACTCTAGTCTTTTGCTTTCCACCCCCCCCCCCCACATTAATGTCGTCCCTATCCACCTAAATTCCTCCATCAACAAAATTGAAACAAGAGCCACTTACTTGCATGGGGTCCTAGCTTGAGAACTTTGCGGTTCACAATGTATTCTAAAGAGGAAATCAACAGAAGAGATTTATTTGGAATGGCCGTAAGAAGGTGAGATTTTTCATTAGCATCAACAAGAGTACATTTTTTCATGTACTCTTGGCATCAGCGATGGCACTCCAATGCCACCATAATGTAATGCGTATGAAAAGTGTGAGGCAAGCTATTGGTGAACAATGCAGGGGGCGTCGGAAGGTATTTCGGTGTGGTGCGGTCAGCCATCTCAAGTACAATTTACTAGTGGGGGAGGGGCAGTTGAGCCGAAAATTTTGGAAATTTAGAGCCCAGATCGGTGCATTTTATTAATTCGCGGGATACCGGGGCAAAAAGTGGTACGGTCAATACCGTAGTGACCGTAGCTTGTCCGATGCCGCCGACGATGGTTGTCAAGCACAAATTCTGCCCGTGGATCCGGCATTAAGAGCAAGATAAAATAACCAACCTGTGCGGGTTCGCGCTTTGTAAAGCAACGCCAGCTTTGAAGAGATCTGTTTTCAAACTTGCTTCCCACGATTCATGGAAGACGGAAAGAGAGTCTGGTCAGTACAGGAATTCGTCTGTGCTGCTACAAAAAGTGCCATTTCGTGAGTGTACATGTATTCAAAATCCACATCGTGTAAGAAATACTTTAGAGTGCAGTCAGACCTCGCTTATCCGGTCCTCTTTTATCCGGATCCCTCGCCATCCGGAAGGAAATAGCTGGTCACAGATTTACAACATACGTGGTGTTCGGTTAACCGGTTCCCTCGCCTATCCGGATATTTTTTTGTGGAAGCGGATGTGTGTGGTTAAGCGAGGTCTGCCTGTACTACTGTAAAGTACGGCGAGAGCGCCCCACCAACTCGGTTTTTCGTGGTGGTGCTGTGGAGGTGGTGTCCTGTCTGAAAATCCCTACGACACAAACCTTGTACACACATCACACGCTGTACAGCCAATCCGTACTCAGCTTACCTTTGAGCTCCACACAAGAACATGCTTATCGTGACCTTAGTACACTAAGGTTCTCACACCGTACAAACTTTGTTGCACTCTGTCATACGATTTCCCTTTCCCTAGCTGTAAAATCAAGGTGGGGGCGCTCTCGCGGTACTTTACGGTAGTGGCTGCATGGTACAGGTGTCCAGTTCATTGTCCATCTTCTACACATATGTGGGCTGAAATGTCAAGAAGAGCAATATCTAAATTCCATATGCAATGCTGTAGACAGCAAGCTGTTTCGGCCATACAGGTCGTCGCTCGTTTATACATAATCTCTGGGACTTGAAAAATGTTATGTATTAGCGGGGTTTATGTACTAAACGAAAGTCTGCACAACTTGGTTGTGTAACAGAATTTTTCACTTTTTTTCAACTTTTCCGAGTGTTACTTGCTACCGTGAGATCCTTGGATGTGAGAGGTTTGGATTTGAGAGGTATGTGGATATGAGAGGTGTGTGGATATGAGAGGTGTGTGGATATGAGAGGTGTGTGGATATGAGAGGTGTGTGTTTGCGGATATGAGAAGTGTATGGATATGAGAGGTCTGGATATGACAAGTCTGGATATGAGAGCTGTGCATTTCATGAGAGGTGTGTGTGTGTGGATAAGAGGGGTGTGTGTGATGAGAGGTGTGTGGATATGGGAGGCGTGTGGATATGGGAGGTGTGTGTGGATATGAGAGGTGTGTGGATATGAGAGGTGTATGGATCTGAGAGGTGTGTGTGGGTTAGAGGCTCTACGGTACTTACGATATAAATCTGGCAAACAAAGAATACCATTCACGGAGCGTTGTTGGACGTGGCGAAGCGGCACAGGCCAGAAGTGGCTTGGAGAATTGCTGAACTGCGCAACATAGCTCTTATCAATCCATATAGGATTGGAGAGCGCATTGCCCAGGCACTGACTGGCCTCATCGGTAAACTGTATTCTGGTGAAGGACGCAGTTGCTAGTCGCATATTGAGCCGTCTGCATGCTTTCTGAGCGCCAGCGTGTGTACTGGGTGTCTGGCTGTAATAACTTGTAACTCCTGCACAATTACTGGCCTCTAAGATAATAAAAAAGAGATTCAAAAAGGATTGGACACTAGGCGTCACTGCCACGCAGACGGAAGAGAAGGAAATCAAAGTCACAACTCCCCAGCTCCATACTGTGGTAGAATAGACGTTGACTATGCCCGACATACTGCATCACTTTGTGACTTCACATGGCTCTGGCATAGCTTGGGGGAAGAAGGCACTGGCCCGGCAGAACCGGTCCAGTTGGTCAGGCCATGGCCGGACCAACTATTTGGCGACCAACGTGTGTTTACTGCTGAGAAGGTCATGTGTACCTGCCCTGGCAGAGACAAACTGTTTGAAAGACTGCGGTATGGCCGGACGAAACGAAAACTGCTTCCACCGGTCCTGTTAAAATATAACTCTCATTTAGATTATGCGAGCTCCAGTGATAGGAACAAACCATGTTTGGCATGTTTATTCTTTTGCCGTAGTCCCTAGCACTATTTCTTATCTCTACTTCTGCACGTCTCACTCCCACCTACTGGACAATAGCCAGTTGGAGAAGAAAAAACTAGAAACAAATGGAGGTAATTCTTACGCAATTGCCGGCATTCTGGAAGATTGTAGAACCGATGTCCTCCACTCCACAGTCTCCCGTATGGCAAAAGTCCATCGTCAGCCACGCAGGTAGCGCCTGGCGTGCAGTATGAATAGTATTCCGCCTTGCACTGGAATCTGAACTTCGGTGCAGTGTTCGCAGTATGGGCCACCTTTGTAATATTGAGACCATCGCGCGAGTACCTGCTTGGAAACACACGAGCTGAAATCAGAATCAGACCGGAGGGCAGACAAACAGGGGGACAGGAACATGTTTAAAAGGAAAGAAGATAACACTCTAGGAGTTGAATCTCAAACGGGGTACAAAGTTTAATGTTGTAACGAGAGAGAAGATCCATCATTAACTCAAGAAACGATACTACACTAGTACTGCACAGCAGAAAATTTTCGGACGGAAATATTTTCGGACAAAGCCGAATTTCGACCTTTCGTACGGATTTTATTTTCGTACAGTGCTGCATGCTAAATGCACGTGTTTGCATGCGGTACGTATGTACAGTGTACATAACTTCACAGAACACAGGAACATCCTTCACACCATTCACCATCCGAGAACAAATTTTAGTACGGAATTAATTTTAGTACAAAAGAGGCCGTGTATGAAATCGTACGAAAATAAATTCCGTCCAAAAATTTCCTGCTATACAGTATGTTATTCCTACTCTCTTCTGTACTAGAGAAACAGAACACCGTCATTAATAACAACTGTAGTCGCTCTACGGAAATTTCTATGTACACTGCATGCGGAGTTTTCGAGACGCATAGCTACCCGTGGCAACTCCGGACGCGAAAGTGTATGCAGTAGATGGATGGACAGATAAAGAGGTTTGTTTCAAATGACACCTTCGTTTCGCCCCTAGAGAGAGAGAGAGAGAGAGAGAGAGAGAGAGAGAGAGAGAGAGAGAGAGAGAGAGAGAGAGAGAGAGAGAGAGAGAGAGAGAGAGAGAGAGAGAGAGAGGAGGGAGGGAGGGAGGGAGGGAGGGAGGGAGGGAGGGAGGGAGGGAGGGAGGGAGGGAGAGAGAGGGAGAGAGAGAGAGAGAGAGAGAGAGAGAGAGAGAGAGAGATAGAGTACCTTCGTTAGTGGAGCTCCATTTACGTACTCTCCGTAGACAACTTTCCGTACGTGGAGTGTAACTCACACATTCACAGGTTTTTTCTGCCCACTTGAATAAAGTTTCCCCACCTTATGTAGAAGATTCTCAACTTGATGTAAGTGTGGAACCTCTCTGAATTTGTTTAAAAATGCCATATCAGCCCATAGTATTAAATAGCACGAGGTTAGTAGCTCTGCATCCCCGTTCTTACCTGGATAATAACACGTATAGCTTCCTATGGTATTATAGCACTCCTGTAGTATATTACAGTAGGGAGTCCTGCTGATGCTGGTGCATTCATCCAAATCTTGCGAGGAAACAGACGGCAAACGCAGCATTATACACTCACCATAGAACAGCTATGTGTACAGACACTGAGCAGCAACTGAGCAGCAACTGAGCAGCAACTGTGGATCGAATTCAATCTTATCTCTTTATCCACTGACGATGTTGTTCAGAACAACGAAACGTCTGGAAAAGTATCGTAAATATTTCTATCTTTATTAATCAATCTGCGGACAGAACTGTTTCGTCCTTTGTGAACTCATCAGCGCAGCACAGAGGAAATGAGGCCGAACCTGATAGCAATGAAAAATAAATTCTCCAAAACCAGATTTAAACCAGGCCCGAACATACCTTGCCAGAGTGCTCAAATATCTTTATTAATCATGTATACCACTCTTTGGTCTAGAAAGAATACTTTTTTTCACATCATTTTCCCCAGCTCAGTCGGTGACTGAACTGAAGTAAAACCTGTGTTGCGTACTAGACGCTCTTGTTCTGGTGTAGTGGAAATCAAATTCATGGTATGATAGGATTTGATAGAGGGGGACAGTTGGACCAACAACATGCAAATCGATCAGGGTGACGTCAAAGTGTGCATGTGCATGTGCATGTGCGTGTGCATGTGTGTGTGTGTGTGTGTGTGTGTGTGTGTGTGCGTGTGTGTGTGGGGGGGGGGGGGGGGGTGCGTGCGTGCGTGCGTGCGTGTGTGGCTAGGCGGTGACGACCAGCCGCCGGCCCCTGCTCCTCTTGTTGTTCTGGGTGTAACTTGCACAACCTGTCAGCGTTCGTTTAAACCGGCTGCGGGTCTCAAGCGTCACCGTTGTGGAACCTGTCCAAAGCGCCCTACTATGGCTGAATGCCAGCAATTCAAGTTTCACTGCCAAGTTTGCCACAACCGACGGTTCCGGAGGCGGCAAGATCTGGATCGCCACTTGGAGCATTGCCTTCCTCCCCCCTAACCTTTCTGACAGTACCTCCCATTTGGGTGCGGCGTGGCCAATTCTGGCAGCTGTCAATAGTAGTAGTGGTGGTGGTGGTGGTGGTGGTGGTGGTGGTGGTGGTGGTGGTGGTGGTGGTGGTGGTGGTAGTAGTAGTAGTAGTAGTAGTAGTAGTAAAAACGGCATTGGTCCAGGAATGAAATTGCTACACGCTTTCGGCAGTATGAAGCTCTGCACCCACGAAAGCAAGTTATCAGCCAGCGGAGCAAAATAAAAGAGATCCTGCAGCGCAAATGCGACATTACTATTGCATAACTAAGCTCTGGCTGCTTCTCGACAATGAGCTGAACAATGTTCTTTAGAGCACGGGAACATTCGGAAGCGCACATACCATTGGTCGCGAAAACCAAAGGTGTGAAGGTGCCTCGCTCAACATCAATCACACGTTGTAGATAGGCCCGTTTCTTCTGTGCTTCGTTACGAGACAACTGGGCAAGTACATCCGATCTCGACAGCAAGGACGCCGAGGGGTGGGTGACCCTCACATTAAAAAAAATGCATCTTGCTGTCGAGACCAGAAGCCCCTTGCACAAATGTCCAAACGAGCCTCAGGAGAACGATTGGCAGTGGCACAATCCAATGACTCACCAGTCAAAGGCAGCAACGTAGGCTCTATCCTTACATCTGAAATGACAGCCGAAAACACCTCCGCCAACAGGTCCCGAATCTCATTATGGCGTAGACTAGGGTAGCCCCCTGTTGGACATACTGCAGCGTGATCAAGCGTCATGGCCGCTCCACATACGCAGGATGATGGTAATTCATCAAGTGGCCAGCCGTAACGAATTGCCACTGCATCACGAAAGGCGGACTTGTTCAAGACGAATCCACAGGAGGCAAGCGGCTCCGCCGTAAGCCAACTTCCCACACCGGCATCTCTGGAGGTTTCCAGCAGAACACGCTGAGGGCCACTTAGGGCAGGGGCCAGCTCTGACAGCTGGGTCCTATGCATAGCAGCACGTTGATTGTTTTGATGTCTCCGGAGAACGCTAGTGTCGGAAACAATCCGAGCCGGCGTCAACTCATTGGACCCCGACCGCAGCATTCGCACGACGGGCCCAGTGACAACTTCACTTATCCGGCGCTGCACCTCTGCGTCCTCCGACACCACAGGAATAGCGAGGCCACCATATCGCACTGGTAATGCCAGCAGCTTCCGCTCCGAATCAGAAACCTCAGTCCGGCCAGTTAACGTAGGGATATATTTATTATTTATGACATCATCCAGTGGTCTGTACGAAGAAGCCAACCCTGGATAACTTCGGATGTGATAATTCCACTTGCTCTTCATACCACGGACAAATGCGGAATATGCGGCGTGGGGCTGTGTAAGCGAGATGTCAGCCAAGAGGCTCATCTCCCGCACCCAACTTGCAATGTGGCTATCGAGATTATCGGCAATGAACGTCGACTGGCCAACGGCACCTCCCAGGTACCTCGCTCCACCGGTTCGTATTGCAATACCAGTGGCATCGAACATGTCAACGGCCGCCCGCTCCAAATCCGGCTTGACAAGGAGTGTCGTCTTTGAGGCATTGGGGAAATAACCATACTCCGGTCCAATGTCAGACAAAGCCAATCAAAACTTGTGCACGTCCATCATCCTTCCACCAGCCTCGCCGTCATCCGCATACCAGCACTGGCCAATAGATGGGTGTTCACTTGACAGGCGTCTGATCATAGGGCCTATAGCCAGTGCAAACAGTGCCATGGCCAAAGGATCGCCCTGGCAAGTACCCTCTCGAGACAAGATCCTGTCACCACCTCGAGACAAGATCCTGTCACCACCTCGAGACAAGATCCTGTCACCACCCGGCAGAAACAACGATATTGGAGCGCCATATGTGTTTTGGAAGATTGTGGATACGGCAGGACACACTCGAGGAACGTTATGAAGCGCTGCCTGTCTGCTAACAGCATTAAATGCATTAGACGCATCTATGAACAAAATGGCCTCTGTTTCCGGATCCAAATACTGCCTCTGCACAGCAAGGACCGCAGCCTCACACGCAGATGGCATGCCCACACAAACCTGAAATGGGCCTACAGCCGCAACAACATCAGTGGAGACGCAGTCCAATATAGCTTTAGCGATAATACGGCGGTGTACTTCACCAACAGCTATCGGTCTCACACCTATACTGGAAGTAGCGCCAGCAGCATCACAAGCAGACTTCTCCAAGGGAACAAGGCGAGCTGCCACGAACGCTGACAGAATCTGAGGATCGACAACCTCCCTGCAGAGTCGCTTCGCTGCTGCAGCCAACGCCGATGCAAGGTTCGCCGATGCTCCCTTGAACACCGTGAGCATTCTCTGCCAGGCAGCGACATCCAGCCCCGATGGACCTCCCGACCCAGAACTCTTCATGCGGCCAGCTGTCTTTTTGATTTTTTCTGCTGAAATCGTTTCAAACATAATCTGGTTGGGAAGATCTGGTTCACAGTCCAACAATATTCCCTCGGCTGGATCCACAGGAGCAGGGTGCTTCTTCTGAAGCACGTCACGGACCGTCTCACCCAAGGATTGCACCGCAATATCATCAGCCCGGAGAGGTTTGCCACACCGCCCCTCTGACAAACCAGACAGAGCCTGACCCAGCCGACCACCGTGCACTAGCTTGGCAAAATCCGTGTCCGACATTCCACTGTCTCCACCACCGCCAGCAGACCCCGAGCGGGGACGCAAGTGAGCCTGGACGCAACGGGACTCCTCCAACAGTGGCTGCAAGTCACCAGCAGCCCACATGTCCATGCGCCGCTGCAGATGCTCTGTATTCTCCTTGCTTCTGCTGTGCGGCTCAGGTCGCTGCAGCAAGAGGTGACTAGCAACCGCCACACACTCCCAAGTGACACAGGCAGCTGGACCACCAGATGCAAACGTGTTTATGAAGTCCGCGATAATGTTAACGAAACGCTTGCCAGTGGAACCCGAGGGGGTCATAAAAAGGTTCCGCTGCCAGCACACAACCTGTCCATATGCAGTTCGCATCCAAATAGCCAACTCCGCATGCCGTGACCATAGAGAAGCAACTAGGGGAGCATGAGCAACCCCAGCAACGACATGGTCGCCACCATCCCCAGACTGCACAGGGCGACTCGCCCCGAACATCGTGGGGGCGGCAGATCCACGCGCAAACACTCCGAAGACACCGGCGCAGGCGCAGGAGCAGACGCATGAGTATCTCCTGTTGTTCGATCGCGGGAAGACTGAGGCCCGGAACTTGGTACATGCCCAACCATAGTAGTAGCAAGAGTACATAACCCCCCAGACCAGAGTGTGCAACGCCGATCCAGCTCTGTGTAGGGTCTTGGTCGAGCGGAATCGGATCTTCTGATGTCATGCGTACACTTCACACCAGCGCAAGGCCGGTCTCGAGGCAGGGCACCATTGTTTTTGATCCAAGAGTACCCGCGACTCCCCGGGTTCCCCTCAGATGTGTACGGTATTATGACGCAAAGATCCGATTCCGCTCGACCAAGACCCTATGCAGAGCTGGATCAGGCGTTGCACACTCTGGGGGGTTATGTACTCTTGGTAGTAGTAGTAGTAGTAGTAGTAGTAGCAGCAGCAGCAGCAGCAGCAGCAGCAGCAGCAGCAGCAGCAGCAGCAGCAGCAGTAGCAGCAGTAGTAGTAGTGTTGTGACGGAGTGCCGTACGTTGGCTCACATGCCGCGCTGACGGGCATCAATGGACTTGCCATAATATTGTCATTGGTTTCATTCTGTCTCAGAGTGTTCTGTTGTATTTATGTATGTGTGTGTGTATGTGTGTATGTGTGTGTGTGTGTATGTGTGTATGTGTGTGTGTATGTGTATGTATGTGTGTGCGTGTGTGTGTGTGCGCGCGTGTGTGTGCGCGTGTGTGTGTGTATGTGTACCTATGTAATGTTCCTGCCAGCCCGTGGCTGAAAACTACTTGCAGAAGACGGAGGAAAAAATTCCCAACCGTCCCTCAACTCATCAACTCAGAACACACGGGCGCGGGCGAGGAAATAAATCAGTGTCGACACCATGGTCACTTCCGA